TCTCCCAGGGAACGTCTACAATTGTCGGACACCTCTTACTGTCAGGAAGTTCTTCCCAACATTTAGATGGAATCTCTTTTCCTGTAGCTTGCATCCATTGCTCTGGGTCCTATTCTCTGGAGCAGCAGAAAACAAGTTTGCTCCATCCTCAATATGACACCCCTTCAAATATTTAAACAGATGCTCAGTTTAATGCAGCGCGCACGAAAAGCTAGTGGCACAACTTGAGCCTGGGTCAAAGCATCATTTTCCTCTCCTCCAAGCAGCAGGTAGGTTGCAGGAAAAGGGTACAGAGTAAGAAGGAGTCCACCATCTCCTTGCCTTTTAAACTAAATCATATCTTCCTTATCTCTTGTTTGGATTTTAGCTGTAAATAGCAAGGGAACCTGGCTCTGTGGTGTGGCCCCCTTCCCCAGTGTTTGCCAACAAAAGATTAGCCTGGAGTGTTAACTCTTGTTTTCAGCAAGCTTGTTGGTTGAAGGTCACCGGCTGCAAAGTCACAGAACAGAGGAAGGAAGGTGTGCCATGCCCGAAAAAATGCCATAGCACCTGCACTTTCAGCACCTGCATCCATGGGTCTTGGATTTCCAGGAGAGCATATGCAAGCATCAAAGGATGTGGCTGCTTGCTCTTCTGCTGGGTTTAGCTTGGTAGAATTAAAACTGTGTTAAAGGCAGAGCTCGGACAAGTTACTCTTTTGAACTACGGCTCCCCGAATCCACCTGGCTGTTCTTTGAAGCCGAGTGATGGACCAAAAAGGCCAAGCAATTCTTCCTAATCTTTGAACTCCTACATCCAGAGATTATAAATATCAGATTTCGCCCTGATGTGAATTTCCTAGAAACATTCACTCTCAGGGTTGAAGAGTACTCCAGATGATTTAATCCAACAAGGCATATAACTAGTGACTCATAGCAGCCCAAAGCAGGGAAGCCCCCAGTTAAAATGTCGCCTGTGCCACGATCTCACGAAGTCACTTTAAAGAAAGCACCGCTATTGCCACCCTCTCATCTGCATTGCAGGCTATATAATACAGTCAGCCTTCCATATCCATGGATTGTTTATCCATGGATGCAAGCACCTCCAGCTTGAAAATATTCAAAAATACTGAAAATTCCAAAATGCAAACCTTGATTTTGCCATTTTATATAAGGGACCACCATTTTACTATGACACTGTATATAACAGGACTTGAACATCCATGGAGTTTGGTATCTATGGGGCGTCTTGGAACCAAACTCCAGTGGATACCAAGAGCCCACTGTATTTGTGTTTGTGTTGTTGTGTGCCTTGAAGTGGTTTCCGAGTAATGGTGACCCTAATGCAAACCTATCACAGGATGTTCTTGACAAGATGCTTGTTCAGAGGGGTTTGCCATGGCCATCCTCTGAGGCTGAGAGAGTGTGGCTTGTCCAACGACACCCAGTGGGTTTCCATGGCCAAGCAGGGATTCAAACCGTGGTCTCCAGAGTCATAGTCCAGTGCTCAAACTCTCCACCACACTGGCTCTCTGCTTAAAATGCAATTGCAATCCACAATTATAGCTAATTAACACTCTACTTGAAAATGTTGTGTAACTGCAGCTTATGGTTTGAAAAGTTGCTTGTCTTGGACTACCAGTCCCAGAAATAGAAACCCACTGGCCATACTGGCTGGATGATTCTAGGTCTGTGGCCACACTGCAGAATTAATGCAGTTTGACACTGTTTTTAACTGTCATGGCTCCATCCTATGGAATCCTGGATTTTGTAGCTTGTTGTGGCCCCAGAGCTCTAATTATCAAACAAAACCATAAATCCCAGAATCCCATAGTGTTGAGCCATGGTGATGACAAGTGATGCTTAGGGAACTGGGTATGTTTGGCCTGAAGAAGAGATAGTTAAGAGGGGATATGATTGCCCTGTTTAAGTATTTGAAGGAGTGTCACATTGAGGAGGGAGCAAGATTGTTTTCTGATGTTCAAGCGAATAGGATCCAGAGCAATGGATGCAAGCTACAGGAAAGGGGATTCCATCTAAACATTAGGAAGAACTTCCTGACAGTAAGGGCTGTTCGACAGTGGAAGACGCTGCCTTGAAGTGTGGTGGAGTCTTCTTCTTCAGAAGTTTTTAAACAGAGGCTGGATGGCCATCTGTGGGGTGTGTGTGTGTGCTTTGTTTTGTGAGTTTCTGCATGGCAGGGGGTTGGACTGGATGGCCCTTGTCGTCTCTTCCAACTCTATGATTCTATGAAAACTACATTAATTCTGCAGTGTAGATGCAGCCTAGAAGTTGTAAAGGTAAAGGTAAAGGTATTCCCCGTTGACAAGATTGTCAAATTGTGTCCAACCATAGGGGGCTGTGCTCATCTCCGTTACTAAGCCAAAGAGCCAGTGTTGTCAGAAACTACTCTGTGATCATATGGCCAGCATGGTTGTGCAGAATGCTTTTTACCTTCCCACCAAAGTGGTACCTATCTATCTACTTGCATTTGCATGCTTTCGAACTGCTAGGTTGGCAGAAGCTGGGACTAGTGATGGGAGCTCACCTGGGCCTCGAACTGCCAACCTGCCAGTCTTGCCATCAACAGAGTCAGGGTCTTAACCACTTGAGCCACTGCATCCCCTCCAGAAGTTGTACTCCAAAAAATAAAAAATAAAATAATAAAGAAATAAAATAAAGAAATCTTGTCCAAACACTGATTAGATACTCTTTTCTTTTCTTTTTACTGTTTGGGAATACCTTGTGTGTGTTTTGAAGAGCTGAGTTCTTTCTTTCTTTCTTTCTTTCTTTCTTTCTTTCTTTCTTTCTTTCTTTCTTTCTTTCTTTCTGTCTCCCTCTCTCTCTCTGTTGTGAGAAAATATGAGAAACAGGGTATATACTTGAAAAATCCTGCCTGCTTGCCTGACTGGCACACGTTGGCTACAGAAATCACCTTTCCTCCCCACCATCAATTGCAGTCTCGAATGCTTTCCAAGGGAGCTAAGCAATTTAGAAGAGCAGGTGTTGGATGACAATCCTATTGAGCATCAATTATCATTTCCCTTCTGATGACTTCCAGCTGCACACCTCTATTTCCTTGGTACCCCATGGCCAAGAGACTCCGGATTGAACTGGAGATGTATTGGAAGAAGAATTTTTTTTCCTGGCTTCTCAGGAGCACCCAGTGAGTGATTCACCAAAAGATTGCAAGCCCAGCTGTGTTAAATTACCACTCACTATCATCAGCACACCTGAATTGCACAATTCAGACAGGATCAGCGTTTCCCAGTGCTAAATGTTTCTCTGGGCGGGGGAAAGCAATGTGGTTGGGGCAGGGAGAGAAAATGACCTTAACCTATATCCTACAACCTTGAAATGGTTTTTTCCCCTCCAAGCTGATATTCTTGGGATGCTGCAGCACCCACTTCTAAATCCTGTTTGGAGGTTTGGTATTTCTGTAGTTATGGAGAATTGCAGAAGGAGGTACAAAGTACAGCCTCTACATTAGAGGAGGAAAATTATTGAGGGTTGGGAGGCTGCATTAAGTGATCCCTCGCTGAAAAAAATCTCCCAAATATTTTGCCCACAAAGGCTCTCTAGGGCATCGTTGCCATGTTTTTAGAGGGAGCCCTGGTCATTTCCCCCTTGTTTTTGCCATGTTTTTATGGGGAGCTGTGGTCATTTTAGGCCCAGAAAAGGACTTTAAAACAACAACAAAACCACACATACACACACACACACACAAACCCCCACAAAGTGAGCAGAAGTCACTTTTTAAAAGGCCTGTCTTGGGCCGAAAATGACCCAGGGGGACAGATTGTTGTTGTGTGTGCCTTCAAGTCATTTGTGACTTATGACAACCCTAAGGTGAACCTTTCTTGGGATAGGTTCCCATGGGATTTCCTATCAATAGGAAAATAGAAAGACCCCATTCTAGGTGGATAGACTCAATCAGAGAAGCCATAGCCATGAATCTGAAAGAGGGTGGTTGAGGATAAAGGGACTCAGAGGTCTCTCATTCATAGGGTCGCTATGGGTCGGAGTCAATCTAAGGACAAGGAGCAACAACAGTAGAGGTGTCAGGACCAAGTGTACCCAGCTAAGGTGACTTTTTGGCAAGTCGAAGGAGTAGGGCACTATAAGACCAATGTGATTCTAGGCTGCATCAACAGAAGTGTAGTATCTAGATCAAGGGAAGTAATAGTGCCACTCTCTTTGGCTTTGGTCAGGCCTCACCTGGAATAATCCTGTGTCCAGTTCTG